TCGTGTGTCGTTAAATAGGGGTGGTGGTTTGCAGCACCGTCAACCCGAAGTAGCCGTACGCACGTCAAACACAGGAAACACGTTTACACTGGAGGCCACTCCCGTTTTTGTTGCCTGTCCAATGAAGTCGTTAGGTTCTGTAAACGAGTCACCCACGAGACGCGTGTATATCAGTCAGGCGATCGATTTATGTGCCGCTGAAAGACAACTGGGAGGCAGCCGCAGTCAATTCCGACCGTGTGACTGAACACCGCGGGCGCCTATTGCCGCGAATTTTGAGGAACCACGGAATTCTTTTTCGAGACACGGTTAAAAGTGGCCAGCTCTTGTGTCTTTTTTGTATGTCTGATGACGAACAGGAGAACCAGTTTAGACAATTTACATATCAAAAGTTAGTCCTTCCCCCAAGGGACTTGATTTATTATTAATTGAATTTATCGGAATGCCTATTTTCCAATACATATACCGCATGTACCTGTGCCGTATTGTACGAAGTAGCGAACAGCGACTCCGTGTACCCGAGCTTTTGAACTCGTATTCGACTTTGCCCTCTCAGGAGGAAACAAAAAATGAAAAGTCTAGGACGCAGAGTTTTGCAGTAATGATAACACACCAACCAGGGATATTTGCTAGTTGCGGCCCGGCAGTCAAAAATCTGTGGCTTCGTAGCCATCCATCGCCCGTCCGTGTCCCTGTCTGCTTCTATTCTGATGATAGACTGTTGTGTGAGTCTGAAACGCCGAGCGAGGATACCTATTTTCCACTTTAATTTTGAACTCAAACGAAGGACTGTCTTTTTCAAGTGTACGCAATTAGAATATTGTAAAAAATGTCTTTGAAAGTTCCAGCCTATTCTGTGGAAGTTCTGCTCCACGTTTGTACTGAGTGACTGGGTTACGCTGCTTCTACAAGACCACGTGCAGTACATGCAGGGCATCTACCTTCTTTCTACCGGTCTCTTTAGATGCCAATGAAGCTGCGTAGCCGCTCTAAACCAAAACAGGATGATACGCCGTCGACGGCCTCGACCGAATCACCCCCATTGGAGGACCAGCGGCACCAGAAGTCCAAGTCCAAAATATGGCGCCTGTTCGATATGACCAGAAGCCCCATCTTTACGAAGAGCACGATGGCACGATTCCCCGGGGACGAGAGTGCGTCAAAAACCTGTGATAAGTCGGTCGCCACTTCGGTCTACGAGGGTGGGGTAGGTTTCTAAATATGTCATGCTTTGTATTTTTTTTTCTAACAAACATGTTTTCCCCTGGTCTTTGCATAATTATTATAAGTTTGATACTACTGAAGCCTGTTAATGGTGTATCCTATACTGCTGGAACTGTGTGTTCTTTTAGTTCGCCATACTGCTGCCCCCTTTTCTATTTTGTCTGATCTCCCCCGCCCCCCTTCCTTGTGTAGCCTACCGAGGTTTTGTGCAG